AGCAGGAACGTTCCAGGCTAGAGAAAGCAATTTAGATCCAGGACTGTTTCTCAGACAAATACACTGATGCACAGATGCTAAACAAATGCCCAGCTGCAACAGAGAGGCCTCAGTAGACCTTCAAAGTTCGTCAAGCTGCATGGTTCCCCATAGAACTCCAAGAAGATCCTCTCTTCAACCAAAGGGCCGTGTCTTTAACGCATAGCTGGGCACATGTGTTTAGCACTCCTGCTGGGCACATGGTTTTATCACTTGTGGAATGAGGTGCTGAAGGGTGAACAGTGCCTGTTCTTACCTCTTTGTGGCATGTTTGGGCCAGTCCATGAGCCTTCACCTCAGAGACCTGACTTGAGGACAGTATGCAGATGGACCTCTGTTTTTCATACAATCCTTGATCTGGCTGTTCAAGTAGAAGCTAAAGTGGCTAAATCATATGCAAGGTGACTTGAAGACTCTTAGCACTAGAAGACTCCCAAAGCTATCAGGGGTCAAGAATAAATTGCATTTTCCAATTACGCCCACCCAGGGGCTTGTGCTTTCCCTCTCTGATGAGTTATCATGCAAATTTTTCCCATGCCTCAAATGAGTCCTGAAGATGCTGTGAAACAGCTGACCCTTCCCACCTTATTCTAGCAAGCCTGACTGAATCTAGACCTTGTGAGTCTAACACTCTGGAGCTTTAGCCAGTGGGGAAGATGCTATCCCAAATTATGTTATTAAATCAACGTGCCATTTCATCTGAATGGTAGGAGTAGTTCTAGCATAAAACAGACAAAAAAGGACTTTCAAAGCTGTAGAAAAGCCATGTACATATTAAGTTAATCTCCCACAGGTATGCAGGAAAGTAATTTCTTCAGCTTCCCTGTCAGGATATCTGTTCCCAGATGTTTCAAACAAAACAGTTATTTAGCATCTAAACATCCTTTGGATATGCTGATTCTAAGTTCTATATCTCATCCAGTTTCTCAGGAACAGCTCTTCACTGCTGGTTCCTCATATGCTATCCCTTACAACCTGAGAAATTTATCATGAAATGTTTGATGCAGACTATTATCCATCTTTTCTACATTCTTCTTCCTGAACATCTGCTATTGAACTGATCATCTGCACCTAGCAATTAACCTGGTACCCAACATCATTAATTGACAAACATACCCCACAAAAGCTAAAACATACATACATACAGAGATCTAGTTGCTGTTTTTTTTTTCCTTAAATCATCTAGAATAGGGAGATCACATTGTCAGTGTATATTCTCTCTTCTTTCTTTTTATGAAAAGAATGCAGAAACTAATCCTTAGGAAAACAAAAAAATGTTTTCACATTTTAATTTTAAAGCACATCATAATTAAAAATCCTGACTCTAAGTGCAAAGGCAACGACCCAAAGTCCCTGCCCCTGCAAGCTCTTAAGCTCTACCCCCAGAGCAGAATGAAAAGATAAAGTACCAAGTGGAATTGAGAGGACGGGAAGCATCACTGCAGTTTTTGGAAACCCTTCAAGCATTCTCTCTCTGGGGATTCCCAAGTCCTCTCACTTCTGCTCGATATACCTGTGCAGAAGCATCTCCCATGCTGAGCAGAAGTATTAAACATGACTATTTGTATCTGCGGGGGTGGTGCAGCACCTTCATTTTACACACATTGAAGCAGGAGTAAGAGGGATGTTGGGGACACAGCTAACTGTTCAGCCATGCCATTTCTTGGGTCTAGGACACAGTAGGTGCTTGGTCAAAAAAACCCACATTTACACAGAGTGTAATTAACATTTGCTTTGTTCGACACTGTTTTCTCTAGTCCCGACCTTCTGATTGAATTTTGGGGATAAAAGCAGAGTCCCAGATAAAGCGTTCAGATTTGTGACTGCCAGCAGTCCTGCCAGACAAGACATTGTAAAGAAGAGGTCCCCACAGGAGCTACTGGGTGCTTACTGGGAGCTAAGAAGCAACTTCCTTCCTGCACTACACCTGAAAGAAGTTGGGGCATAGAAAGTAAAGTGTTGGAGGGATGAAGGGAAAGAAGAGTGGCAAAAGCATGGGTCCTGCCTGTTCTGCACACAAGCAGTCATAGCATAATCAACTCTACTCCAGTGAGGTTCCCGCAGAGAGAACTGCACAAGGAAAAGTCATGTAAAGACTGCAAAACTGCAACGCTTTCCCAGAAGCAGAGTACCTCATGGATTAGAGGCACAGGCAGGAATCCTTGCACCTTCAGGAAGTCCCAAACTGCCACTGAGTGAAAAACCTTTCCACCCAGGGAAGCAGCAGAATTACTTCATCATAAACTGGATTAGGGGCCTCCTTGCTGCGTGCTGGTGACAGAAGCACCTGCAGAAATGCCATACCATGAACCTCCTTGCACAAAATCTCTACCTGGATCTGTCAAGTTGGGGGAAAACTTCTTCCTCTGCTGAATCTCAAGGAGAAATTAAGTATTATCACCAAGCTCTGCATAAGGGCTTTTTAAATTCATGGGCAGGAATAGGACAGAGATCCTCTGCCATTCCTATCTGGATACTAGAAGGAACTAGAATGGGATTTTTTCCAAGACAGATGAATGATGCCCAGTCAGTCTCACAAGCAAACTGGACTGACTACCTGTGGCAAAATCATGAAGCAGCAGACACTTTTACATTCTTATTTCCAGGTTCCTCGTATCTTAATTTCTGAAAAGAACAACATTTTACTGAACAAGGAAACCGACATCTACCTAGCCTCGCTGGAAGCAAGCAGCTGGCAACTCTCCAGGGAAGGGTGCAGAACCAACTGCTCGTCCCAAAAGCTGTTCTGAGGATACTTCACTGGAGTGAATGACAGTGTCATATTCATCGCCAAAAAGCTGTGTCTCGATCGGAAATGCTAAGTGTGGACACTAGGTTCTAGGGCATCCCCTCTATCTTAAAGAGGAAATGAGACTGGAAGCAACAGGCTACAGAGCTCTACAGTTCACAAGCACAATCAAATTTCATCTTCAAGCACCGTATGTGGTGCAAATCCTGGCCTGTGAACAAAGTTGCCTCTACCGTGGATTAACAGAGACGTGAAATCCCAGTCTGAGAGTTACACCGTAGAAGGATGTCTGAGGTTCACTTCTAGGAGAGCGGAAAGTGACATGCCAAGAGCAGCTGTGGTATTGCTAAACACAGATGACGTGCAGAAAGCATCACAGCCCCACATCAAGTACAGAGTATTTAGTGCTCGGGGCTTACACCTATCAGTAGGGTAAACAGGGCGACTCCTGCTGGAAGCATCACAAGTCCCAGCTATTGGAAAATCCAGCTAGGGGCTGACCAAGCCATTCTCACCTCCAAGCATCCTACTTGATGCACAAGATCCCTTGGTGTGCCAGCCTGGCCTGGAACTGCTGGTTCAGTAGCTTGACACGAGGTAGCTGCACCACCTGCTGTCCGCTCTGAAGCAAGTTACCAGTGTCTATTAGAACATCATTAAAGATGATCATTATTAACAAAAGTTTTCTTCTTCAGAACCAGTGTTTTTGTAGGACATGTTCTTGATTAAAGTCATCAAGAAAGACTTTCTATCTGAAAACTGTGAAGCCAGATCAACAGGAGGACAGTCTAGTCAAAATGGTTCATGTTCTCAAACAGAATATGAGAAGTTCACTTTAATACCCAGCTCCTCTCAAGAGAAAGATCACACTGTTATGTCTTTGGGAAGCACTCTCAAGTTATTTCCACTCCAAAAACTCCCAAATCTAGCATCGAACAAAACTTTTTTGCCATGCAAAAGAACAGCCACCTGCCCAACACCACTTGTGGCTTAGCAGAAAGGCGAAAGACACCTCTTAAATCCTGCACCATTCGCCTTTCCTGGACAAGGCTGCAGCACTAACTGATGCAATCCAACAAGGCAAAGAGATAAGATTGCTACAGAAAGCCACAACACTAAAAGTTGTCTTAAGATACGGTGTCTTGTTCACACATGAAGGCAGACAAGTCAGTGTGTTCTCTTGGCTGGCACAAATATGACAGGTTACTGGAATATCCCCCTGGTCTTAGAGATCAAGGATCCTGTTCACGCACAAGTATTTTGTGTGCCAGGCCTCAAAAATAATTGGGCATGCAGTGGCAAGGTCAGCGCGGGTCTAAAAGGAAAGGAGTTCAGAAGACAACCTCTGCTTGATGAAGCACAGGTGCATAATATGCAGACAAAAGGAAATCAGAAAAACAGTTTATTTAAAAAACAAAAAATCCCCGCCTCAAATACCCACATATTTCTGATAAGCTTATTGCTCAAGCTAGATCTCCTGTGATACTGCTCTCTTTCTTCTTAGCCTGTAGGGCCAGAAGTACTCACGCACCTCTGTCCTTCCTCTAACCAACATCGTTTGGCTATGTTCAGTTGGTCCCAAATACCAGCATTTGATTCGCTCCTTACTATGCACACAGAACACGGGAGGTCACCAGGCACAAAGGCTCCTTCTCACTGGGACAAGCCTATGGATTTATACATAGTCATCTGCTCCCACCAAGATGGGAGTTCCTACTTAGCAAAACCACAAAGAAAGTATGGGAAGGTATATCTACCTTCTCTTTTGAAGCCAAAGCCTAAACAACACTACAATCATCCCTGAACCACTTCGCCTGCAGTCCAGACATGTCCATGCTCGTTCTACAGCTCACGGTCTACACCCTAAATGTACAGCCTTCAGGGTTCCCTAATAAGCGTTCTATAGCGTTTCCCAGTCTCACCATGCCGTTCTACTTCCACCGAACTGGGGCTCATCTTCCAAGTTTGCTCTCTGTGAAAGGGATATTGCCTGCTTCTTGTGCAGCATCTACAGCTCCACGCTGTAGTGGAACAGCAGGACTCTCCCACCAGGTCCTGGCTTTCCTTTGGGTGGTCACAGACAAGAGACTCTTGGACCTTCCTCCTAGATAGCTGTCGGGCAGGTTTGGTAAGAACAGAGCAGGGGCCTTTGTGCTTCATGTTCAGTCAGTGGTGTTGTGGGGTTTCAACATCCTCTTCCTCCTCTGCACCATGTTCAGTGTGGCGCAGCAGCAGCTCCAGGTCAGGGTCGGAGCTGGTCTCTTTGTGCAGCTTCAGTGCTTTTTCACCTGCATGCAGACAGCCCATTTAGTGACAAACTGGCTAGAGTACCCATCAAACCTGGCACTGGCCAGGAGCTGGAACTAGACACAGCTCCTAGTGATGCTACAAGAATGCCTACAGAGAAACAGGAAGGGATTTAAAACAGAATCACCTTTGGAATTCATGGCTTTGAGAATGACATGAAGGGAGATTCCTGACAGACAGACAGCAAAGCCCAGCCAGTTCAGGAGACTGAGGCGGTCTCCCAGCAAACGTGTGGCGAGGAATAAAATGCAGATTTCCTGTGGAAACAAAAAACATGACAAGTGGCAGGGCAGGACCTGAGGAGATATGCATGAGACGTTCTATATCTCAAGCCTAGATTAAGATGGCAGGCTGCTAATTTCCATCAGCACATTCTCCTGTGTGCAGAGGGTTCTACAGTTTTTAGAAACAGAACGACCTGTTAAACTGGGATGTGGGATTTCAAGTCCTCTGACTGCATAGCTTGGCTACGTGGGAATCCTGGGACTTGCGGACCAGATAAATTTCACATGTCACCATTCAGCTACAAAAGCAGGTGTGCTGGATTCCTCAAAGGAGGGGAGAATGTGCTAAACTAGGTTAAAGAGGTAGCTCAAAAAACAGTTATTTGTTCATATCCAGGTCAGATGGAAGAGCATGCCCTTCTTACCCCTCCTCCCTCCCGCACCATACATTGCTCACGAGGCCCCAGTGTTTTAGTTCCAGATCCCACCAAACTTTGGACCTTAATGGTATTTTTTACAGAACAGCCACTACTCTCTGCCCCTTGCCATCAGGGACCAAGGGACTTCATTGCAGAGACTGCAAGGCAAAGCATCAAGCTCCTGTGCAAGGAGAACGAAAATAACAGGAGATGATTTCTAAGGCTGTAAGGAAGTTCCCACCGCATGAGGACCATTAGGGATATGACTCAGTACTTGCCTTCTAGTATTAGCACAGGAACCATGCCTTACCTTAAAAATGCCAGCAATGGAAAGGGTGAGGCTAGATGTTCTGGAAACCAAGAGGAACTCAGAAAAGCCTAGACCAAAGGCAAGAATTCCACCCAAGAACAGCTTCCCTACCAGAGACAACAGCATTTCTGCTTCATGGAAATGGAAGAGCTTCTCTGATACGGACAAAGGCAGGCCTAGGAACAAGACAGTGAGTAGCAGAGTACCTTTCCCAATGCCCAGGACTCCTCACAACAAGATGGGGGTGGGCTGCTCACATTCCAACACCAGGAGGATGTGGAGCCAGTTCTTCATGGCCCTTCCACAAGAGTGGCAGGCAGTCTTTAATGTTCTGCCAGCACGAGGTATAGCTGGGTCCTTATAATTCCAGGTCTCTAATTACTTTGTGATACAAATTCATAGCTGTTCACTTATCTAAATGAATCATCGCAAACAATAAACCGCTAAGCAATCTCCCCAACCACTCCATAAAGCTATCCCTGCTTTCTCCAATTAACTCACGCACCCTCAAACACCGCAAAGAGTGGTAAGAGCCCCAGGAACATGAGCGGCTGCAGGTGAAACATGATATCAATGGGGTTCTGGAGCCCTGAAAGAGGAGAATCAATAACAGACCAGGTAGCAACAAGCCAGGGAATAACATAGCTCCTACAGCTTTTATTAGTACCATTCCTAGACATACATCTTATTTGTAATGCCCACACCTGTGCTGCTGCAGAGGCCAAGCCACCTTCATTACCCATCAACAGACAATCCCTGCCCCAGGTTTCAAACACTCCCTTACACGAGATGTTTTGTTTCTGCAGCACGGTCTACCACCTCCTTGTTCCCCTCCCCGTTACCAGCACCCCCCCACACTCCCTAACACCCTACATACCCAGTTCAGCCTTCTGCATAAGGATCTGCGTGAGAGTCCAGCGAATACCCCCAAGGAAAGAGGCACACAGCACCAGCACAAAGCCCTGTGTGTTGAACTGTGTGGACTTGTAGGTGAACATGAAGAGGCCCCCAGCGATGAGCAGAACCACCAGCAGCAATGCCACCCTCTGGATGAGAGCAAACACAAAGTCACCACAGAACCCTGGAGCGGAACAGAGACAGACACCTCCTCTCTTTCAGATTCAGCCACATAATTGCATTTTTCCTCCGCTTGAATGTTTCTTGTACACGTACTGCCTGTTTCCCTGGGCCTGGACTTCTCCCTCCCTAAAGCGTTGCGTGGGACCCTTACCACTTCCTCCAGCTTGAAGAGCAGTGAAAAAAGCAGGATGAAGATAATGGCAGAGGATTTGGTCATCGTGTAGCTGTAAGGACCAAAATACACTGTCAGTCTCCTCCAATGTGGTCCTTCCCAGAAAAGTAGTATTAGGAACCAGATCACCCACTTGTACAGCAAGCTGTGATAGACCCTGCACGCCAGCCCCACCGCACCGTGCACCTGTTCAAGAAATGGACCCCGAGAAAGCACTTTGTAAACCCCACCAGAGGGCTCCCAGGGAAGACGGTGTTTGTACTCACAGGGAGACAGTGACGTATAGGAAGCTCCAGTTACTCAGCCCAATATCCAGGGAAGTTGACAGAGCTAAAGAATGAAAAAAAAATTAAATCCTGAAGTTAACTGTCTTCCACTACATAAAAAACAAAACAGAACAAAAAAACCCAATCCCTGCTACTCAACCACGAACACAGAGAGCAGAGCAGACCCAGAAAAACCCCCACGTTTTCCTCAGGTTAACTCTTCAGTGCCAACATAGCTCAGAAACCCTCAGCTCTTTACGTTTCTGTCCTGTTCCCCGTGACTGAAGTTGGGCTCAGCACCGCCCTCGCTAAACACACACTATGCAAAAGCGCAGAAATGACCCTTGCTCTCCCTGTGACTGAAAGCCTCCACATGTCTGCACAAAGTCTTGTTCGAACGTATCAGAGCATGATAACTGGTAAGTATGAGGGGCACTGCAAGAAGCCTGAAGAAGCAAGTCTGGCAACAATCCTTAACTGGTACAGCTCTTGCTACAGTCTATTCTCCCTTGTATATAAACTTCCGACCAGAGGAAACAGTTTCACTGATCCAGTGGGTGCTGTGCGGAACAGCAGCACTGCTACAGGTGTGGAGAGAGCATTTTTCTAGAAAGTATGGGGCATGTTAGGCAGAAGCACGGCAGACCTTGCCGGAGATCTTTGCCCAGGTGCTGTTCTGCAGGAGGCAGCATGACCACGACTGAACCAGCATAACCTACACCCAAAGAACTGCTGAAGTACCTCCAGAGCTCTGTGCTCCGAGCAGGAGCTTCACCCCTCGGCCTCAGCCACAGCAGTTTTGCGTGTCACGTACGATGAACTTCCTTATCATAAAGACCAAGCTCCAACCAGAGAAAGCCCTCCAATAACAAATGCATGCCTTCATACCCACGTTAAACAGAAAACGTGCAGAGACAGCTTACGGAGGTACCGTGCAAGATTCTCACCGTACGTTCGCATGTGCCAGCGGCTCCTTTGGCAAAATAGGCTCAGCGCGGCCTCTCCCCGTTCTCACTAGTTTTTGTCACGGCCGGT